TAGAAAGGGACAGATTCTAAAAAATATATAAAGAGAATAACCATATCATATAGTACTCTTACTGCTGTGCTAAATAAATATATACACTCCCATGGTTACTGCATCACCACTCACAATAGCCATTATATAGAATCAACCTAAGTTTTCATCAATAGATGAGTGTATAAAGAAAATGTGGTATATGCATACAATGGTATATTTTTGGACTTAAAAAAGAAGGAAATTCAATCATTTATGGCAATATGGATGAACCTAGAAGACATTATGTTAAGTGAAATAAACCAGGCACATGATCTCACTTACGTGTGAAGTCTAAAGAAGCTAAACTCATAGAAGCAGAGAGTAGAATGATTGACAAGTGGATGGGGAGTTGGGGAGATGTCAGTCAAAGGTTACAAAATGTCAATGAGATAGAAAGTTCAATGGATCTATTATACAACATGGTGACTATGGTTAATAAAAAAAATTCTTAAAAATTGAGAAAAATATTTAATATTCATGAAGAAAGAGAAGGGGAAGAAGAAGAATGGGGCAGCAGAGGTGAAGGACAAGGGAAGACAGAGGCATAAGAGAAGTAGATGAAAAAAGGACAGGTGCCTTATTTATGAATAACTAAATTTGGTGAAGAAACATGATATCTAATGGTTCAATTAAAAACTTCTAAGTTAGGTAACACACATGCACAGGAAATTAATGTGAGTCAACTCCCTGTATAGCTATCCTTAGCTCAACTAGCAAAAACCTTTGTTCCTTCCTATTATTGCTCATACTCTCTCTTCAACAAAATTAGAAATAAGGGCAAAATAGTTTTTGCCAGGTATCAAGGGGGTGGGGGGGAGAGGGAGGGGTGGAGTGGGTGGTAAGGGAGGGGGTGGGGGCAGGGGGGAGAAATGACCCAAGCATTGTATGCACATATGAATAATGAAACAGTAAAAATTAAAAAAAAAAACTTCTAAGTTACTGTAGGAAACTGTATCATTACTAAAATGCACACTTTTGACTGGCTAGTTGTAGCCTATATAAATAAAGCCAAAATTACAGCCACGAGGCTATGCCAATTTCAAATAATTTCAGCCATAAAAAACAAAATCAACTTATACATCAACCCTGGTCATAACCATCTTTATACTCTATGCTGACTCATCCTTTGTGGGCCAAAGCAGAATGACTTAATGATTCTCACAACTCAAGAGAAACCACAACCCTGCGACTCATCTCTAAATGAGTTTCTACTCCATCCACATGGAGGATAGGGAATGGTAATTTCCTATCCACAGCCACACAAGTCCTTTCCCCTGGTGGCAGTCTGGTTTATCTGCCCTGATCTAAATGAGCCCAGATACTAGCTTTTATGCCTCCTAGCTTCTGCACTCACTGTTCTGGCCAGCATTGAGGAAAGGGGCCTTTAAATGCATTAGGGCTGGCTGATCTAGAGTGGCCTTAGCAGGCATGACTCATCTCAAACCTCCAGTTGGCTAGCCCCAAATTTGCACATCCAGGAGAATGAGGGGAGAGAAAGCAGAAGCTGCAAGTCTTCTTGAGGCTTAGAATCAGAATTGGTGTAATGTCACTTCTGCCACCTTCTTTTGTATTAGCACAATACAAGACCATCCAGATTTGAAGGCAGGGAACATAGGCCCCACAAACTCTAGCAGCAAAGAACTACACAGGCACATTGCAAAGGGAAGAGATCACTTGTGCCCATTTTGTCAGCAATCCATCACAGAAACTAATCTCAAACTATAGAACTGGCCCCTCGGTGATACACATTAATGGACATGCCATCTTTCACTGTCCTGTGTGTATTCATATCTCATCCTGAAATACTGAAAAATAAAACATTTTTTAGTGCAGGGCCATACTCTTATTGATACCTGAAAATTAAGCTGAGATAGCAGTTCTAATCTCAGACATCAGTGCTGTGTCTCAAGCTTTGAGTGCCCAGTGCCTTTTTTTTTTATTAGGATATTATCAGTATTTGTCTGGAACATGGTTCAAACTGCTCTCCATAGCATACCTGGTGCTGGTGTGGATGTCCTGGCCAAATCTAACTATGGAGAATTAGCCTGATCTCACTTCATATGAATAAGATAAGTTCTGTCTTTGGTTCCTGCTTGCTTCTTCTTCCAGGTCTGCTTTCTATTTCTGGAATCACTATAATCGTTATGATTATGATATATTAGTTAAGGTGACTCCAACTGCTATAACATACTGTACTAATCAGCTTTCTATCACTGTGACAAAATACCTGAGGAAATCAACTTAAAAGGAGGAAATGTTTATTTTGGCTCATGGTTCTATCCATGGTCAGTGGGCTCCATTACTTCTGGACCTGTGGCAAGGCAGAACGTCATGGTGAGGAATGCATAGTAAAGCAAAACTGTTCACCTCGTGGCAGCCAAGTGGGAAGCAAAAAGAGAGATGAAGAGCAAAGTTCCCAATAGCCTCTCTCAGTTCATGCCCCAGAACTAGTCCCCACCTCCTAAAGATTCCACGACCTCCCAACAGCAACAGTTAGGGACCAAACTGCCAACGTATAAGCCTTTGGGGGAACATTTAAGATCCAAATCAAAACACTAACCCTTTAGGCTAAAAAAAAAAAAAGAAATACAGATTGAGTATTCCTAATCTAAAATGCTCTGAAACTTGACACTTAAAATGTATTAAATTTCAGAACATTTGAATTTGGGTTTTTGAATTAGAGCTACTCAGTCTGCAAAGTCTATACAAATATTCCAAAATCTGAAAAACTGAAATCTGAAATATTTCTGATCCCAAACATTGGAAAAGGGATACTCAACATACGTAGGGGTTGATCTTACACTCCACATCAATAGATTTTCCTGACCAGAGAGAGGATTTCCATATGGTCATTGAGCCATGTAAAGTTCATCTCATGGCTATACCATCCCCTAGTAACTAAGTGTAACCTGCTAGATCATTTTCATCCCACTGACAGAAGAATAAAGCAAAGAAAGGGGTGTTGCTTTGTGACTCTTGCCTCAAGGGGACACATGTTACCTCCTGCTCACATGCCATGGCAAAGAATTGGTCCCATGGTCCCACATGGAAGTAGAGAGTGCTGGAAGATGTGGTCGCTGGCTGAGGACAGCTTTGTAGCAACAAGTTGTTGATATGTGGGAAGAGATCACACATCTTTGGTGGGCGCCTAGCATGTTAGCCACAATGATCAAGAGTTTTGATCTCGTACCCATTGGTTTGTGAAAAGGGGGTCCTGTTTTACTTCATTTTTTTAAATTTTGATTATAAATTTTGTATCTAAAAAGGATTTCCTGGATGCCTTTTGCATCCTATCTCTTGTGTTTTAGGTTAACTGTTTTTACAACAGCCATTGCTGAGGCACCCTGCTGCTCACCTTAGTCACACCATTTACCTCTGCTTTCTGACATGGTGGCCCCTTTGCTGTCACCTGTGGGATGCCCTCAGGAGCTCTTTCAGCCATTCTGACACAGGAGATGGGAACAAGTAGATGAATGCACCCATCTTCATTCCCTCAGATAGTCAGTTCTGAGGAGCTCTGCAGAAGAACCAATATCAAATTGGCTACAAATAAACCAGCCAAATATTACACCATTGAATTTGGCTTTCCCTTCCCTCTTTTACTTTCCTCACTCTTCTTAACCTTACTTTCCAAAAGAAGCCAATATGCTTTTGGGGAGTCCATGTTAAAATATGAAGATAGTAAATGTAAAGCTTAAAGAATAATATTAAATTCATCTACTACCTACAGTGAGAAATAGATGGTTTAATCTTGTCTCATTCATCTCAGAGTCTCTGTGCCCCTAAAACATTTTTTACCAAGTGAATAGACTAATGAACAGAAATACTTCCAGACCTAACTGCTGCTTAGTCAATGAACCAAAAATCAGCAAGCAAATAATAGTTACATTCACAACTACAGTGCTCACAGTTCAAAGTAACTGTAAACAAAAGCATAAAATGTTTCCCAGTATTAGCTGATTGAACCATGTGACCCCAGCTCAGCCTGCTTATGTTCCAACCAGCAAGAACCTAGACTGTAAACTGTTCACATTCACTTTGCCAAGTTAACAATACATAGGACGCTGCTTCTCCAATTAGCCTCTTACAGAGCTGCTTACTGATTGTGTTGGCCTCTCTGTGGTTTAGGGGGCAGAGAAAATGACAAACATGGAACATTTTCCAATTAATGACAAATTATTATTGCTACAAAACTCATAAAACCTTTCTTAAGTGCATTCTGCTTCCTTGTAATCAGTTCAAAACATACAATAATTTTAGTTAGTGAAGGAAATGGCTTATTCTGATTCCATGTGATTAAGTGTATTACATAATTTATTAAGGGTTTTTATGATTAGGAACCTTCACCACCATCTCTATTCTGAGAGATTCTACCCAAACATGTGATTCTCAACTACTCGCCCAATTAGCCTTACCCCAGTGGTTATCAAAAATAAAAATGATATATGCAGAAAACTGAAAGAAAAAAGACAGGAAGCCTTATGTTGTTACAAAATCCAACTGAGAATTAGCATTTCTTTCCATAAGGATCCAAGTATGTCAGACCTGTCTGTGTTTGTGGTGATTACGTGAACACATGTTTCCAACCACATGCTTTTATGAAAACATGGAACTGGTTCTCTAAATACAGGGTAAGAATTTAGGTAGACAGTTTAAAGGTTGATACCTCCTAAGAGCATCTTGGTTTATTCTTGAGTCATAGGGACATTTGGCTTATTGGCATCCTGAAAAGCATTTAAGCTGAAAGACAAATGAAACATATTCTTGAGGTGCAGAGAAGATACAGTTTTTGAAAAAGAAATGTGAGTTTTTATTAGAGCAAAGCTGTTAATTACGCGCTTCATTATTGTCAAGGTTAATACAGCCTATGAGAGCAGAGGCACTTTTTCATTTCTTCCCGGGAACAAGGGGAGACAGCTGTTCTCTTGGACAGATCCATTACAGCTTATCACCAGCCGCCAGCCTGTGGAAGGAGCACCATGAAATATGGCCGCTGTCACCAGGAGCCAGAACAGATGCCGAGCTGGTCCAGGGTACAATGGAAAGACAATGAGAACCACAGCTTCAGATTCAAGTAGATTAGCCTCCATCGATTTTTAATGCCTGGAGGTTCCACGGCATAAAATTCACCAATACTTTTGCAGTTAGTATATTATTGATCTCTCTAAAACTGCACAGTCTTGCTTTAATAAACATCAGATGCTGACAGTAATAAATAGCAGTTCTTCCTTTCTGACACTTGGTTACAATGTTTTGGAAAATCCTACATGTTTGGGTTTCATTATTATTGCTTTGCTAGTTGATTCTGTAAGTAAAACACAAGTCAGCCAAACAAATATTGCCTCAGTTCTGGTTTTACTGGTCTTTGTCATCAAATAAGGTTATAATGCCCTTAATTTTTACTCTTTGGGGCTGGTCAACAATTTGTTTTTTAACAAACATTTACATTTTGTGAGACCCTGCTTATTTTCATTGAAACAAAGAAAAGCATGTGTTTCTGTTAAGAATGATACATTTACTTCACCAACAAACATTTACAAATGCTAAAAATGAGATCAAAGAAAAAAGAATGCTGTAGCTGTAGTTAGAGTATACTCTTCTTGGATATTTTTGTTTTTCCTTTAGATAGGTCAGGATTTCATCTTTTCAAGTATCTCCAACAACATAAACATTTTCATGGTGCACAGATCTAACTCATCAGTAACTTAAGGGTTAGAACTTCATAACGAGACCACAATGTTAAAAAAAAAAAAAAAAAGCAGGTGCATATAAAATGGTGGAATCTCTTTAGGACAATATTATGAAGTCTGTTAAGGTCATCATTTTGCTAAGCATTAAAAAAAATTCACCTTCATGGTGAATGGGAAAATACTGAATAGAGTACCCCAAAACCAACTATAATGTCTAGTAATTTTAACACACACTAAACACACAATCACTCAACACTATATACGTATATGTGGAACACAACATACATAACATATGCTACTATATTATATATAGTTAATAAAATAAACATTTAATGCTATTATATAGATACATGCATATGTGTGTTATTAATGCTGGCTTCTAAAAAAACATATCTCAGCTAATTTTTTATTTTAAAAATAACCCAAATTACAGAAAATCTGGAAAATATGCTAATTGCATTATGTGCACAGCAGGAGCCACAGACCAGCAGCAAAAGCATCACCTGAGAGCTTTTCAGAGTTCCATCACCTCAGCCCTCCCCCCTCCCCCCCCAGGCCTGTTGAATCAGAATCTCCTTTTAACAGTATCTTGGTGTGATTTGGGTGCACATTAAAATTTGAGTACCTCTGATCTAAAATATAAGTCACCCTTAATCTGCACCCAGAGTGTCCAGTCAAAATTGTACTTTCTTTTCTCTATATAGCCTTTCTTTCCCATGCCTATCTCTCTGTTTATATCTTGAAAGTCTAATTTTACTAATTTTCTAACTCATACATTATATTTTTTTAAGAAGGATACCAATGGAGTGCTTATCATGATTTGAAAGTATTCAGATTTTTATGTCTAGTAAGGATATTTTATATAACAATCATAATTTGAGATACATCTCTTGTTTAAATTCAAGAAATGTTTGTTTTGCATACTAATAATAGTTTTTGAACCTTCTGTACCTTAAATCCTATTTTTTCCAGTCTGTACAGCTGAAATTTATTTTCATTGTGTGTAGTATCTTTTTTCCTTATCAGCCTAATTTAAAAGTAAATTTTCCTGATAAAATAAATAACTGCTGTATGCTAGTACTTTCTGTATGCCAGCAGTCATATCATCTGTTTTGCATGTATTATCTTATAATATATACGATAATTATATTATCTTATTAAGTCATCACATTAATCCTATGACATTATGATTTATTCTCATCATCCTATGGATTTCAAAACTGTAGCTTTAATACATTAAGTAACTGCCTGATATCATATAGCTCATAATAATTATAACATAATATTAAAACAATCATAGTAAATACAATATTTTTAAATGTTTCCTATTCAATGGGTAGTCTATCTTTTTTCTAAACAGCATTTAGCTCATAGCAATATTAATATTTCTCTTACTTTAACAAGCACATAGAATTCCATTTATTGAGATTATTGCCATAAATTTGCTATAATTTGCATGTGAACTGTACACACTTCTCTGGATATTAATATTGAGTTCATAGAAATAGCAGACTACCCAATTCTGAGGCCACAGATTAATTTGTATGCAAAAACAGGGACTCTCTTATATCCTGCAGCAATCTAAATGAATTCACACTGAAGGAGGCACAGTGAAAGACATTAACCTAAGTAGCATAGAAAAACGAGCTTTGAATGGAAAATGTAAGACTGAAGTCAAAAAGTACTGGGCATAAACACAGTACTCTACTTAGCAAAGGCATTTCCCTTGGTAGAGTGGGTGAACAATGCTGCTGTTAAATACTCAGATGGAGTAAGTAAATGAACAGCAGATGGTGGGGTTCAAGTTTTTCAGTGTTAGGAAGTGAGGTTATAGACAAAGGAGAAAGCTAGAATGAACCATATACCACTAGATTAGGTTTAGAGGAATCAGTATGAATTCATGTTTAGCTTAATATAGATAGATATAATTCTAGATATTTATGTATACACGGGTCAGTATATAAGCACATATTCACTGTTCCCAGCTCTGTTTCCAGGTCCGGGGAAGCAAGAACACCCCAAAGGCTAGATTGTCATTTCTAATACCATTCTCAAATGAAAGGAACCAGATCTTCTTAAAGAAATGACTAATTCTTCTTCATGGCTGCATAAAATTCCATTGTGTAGAGATACCACATTTTCTTAATCCATTCGTCAGTGGTGGGGCATCTTGGCTGTTTCCATAACTTGGCTATTGTGAATAAGTGCCGCAATAAACATGGGTGTGCAGGTGCCTCTGGAGTAACCTGTGTCACAGTCTTTTGGGTATATCCCCAAGAGTGGTATTGCTGGATCAAATGGTAGATCGATGTCTAGCTTTTTAAGTAGCCTCCAAATTTTTTTCCAGAGTGGTTGTACTAGTTTACATTCCCACCAACAGTATAAGAGGGTTCCTTTTTCCCCGCATCCTCGCCAACACCTGTTGTTGGTGGTGTTGCTGGTGATGGCTATTCTAACAGGGGTGAGGTGGAATCTTAGCGTGGTTTTAATTTGCATTTCCTTTATTGCTAGAGATGGTGAGCATTTTTTCATGTGTTTCATTCGCTGGTAAATGGATGGAATTGGAGAACATCATTCTGAGTGAGGTTAGCCTGGCCCAAAAGACCAAAAATCGTATGTTCTCCCTCATATGTGGACATTAGATCAAGGGTAAACACAACAATGGGATTGGACTATGAGCACATGATAGAAGCGAGAGCACACAAGGGAGGGGTGAGGATAGGTAAGACACCTAAAAAATTAGCTAGCATTTGTTGCCCTTAACGCAGAGAAACTAAAGCAGATACCTTAAAAGCAACTGAGGCCAATAGGAAAAGGAGACCAGGAACTAGAGAAAAGGTTAGATCAAAAAGAATTAACCTAGAAGGTAACACCCACACACAGGAAATCAATGTGAGTCAATGCCCTGTATAGCTATCTTTATCTCAATGAGCAAAAACCCTTGTTCCTTCCTATTATTGCTTATACTGTCTCTACAACAAAATTAGAAATAAGGGCAAAATAGTATCTGCTGGGTATTGAGGGGGTAGGGGGGAGAGGGAGGGGGCGGAGTGGGTGGTAAGGGAGGGGGTGGGGGCAGGGGGGAGAAATGACCCAAGCCTTGTATGCACATATGAATAATAAAAGAAAAAAAAAAAGAAATGACTAATTGATCAAAGGGACACAGCAACCAACCTGAAGGAATTCTCAATGACAAAAGCTAGAACCATTAATCAACAAACAAAATACCATAGTATTGGGTCATAATCCAAAATATTTAATAAATATTCACAAGTCCACCTATACTGATAAATTAAATGATTGAAAAGTAAATAAATGAGCAACAATAAGCATGTCTCCTGTACAGAATAATTTCAAGTACTTTACATAGATGTGTCCCCTAAACCAAGGAGATAGTTTAACTCCCCACCCCTTGAGTGTAGGCTGCACTTTGTAACTTGCTCCCAAGGGGAAGGGGGAGAGTGTAACTTACAGTGTAGAACCCTGGCAAGCACTACCTCATCCAAGTGATCAAAATTAACATCATCAGTAAGAAGGGCTGATGGGGTGTGCACTGGATAAGATGTGCCCAAACTGCTTCTTTGCTTTTCAGCTTTCCTCCCCAGACCTTTACTCCAGTATAACCATAAGAAAAACATCAGAGAAATCCAAACCTAGAAGCAACTGCTCAGTGCTCCTCGAAACTGCCAAGGTCATAACAATAAGGAAAGTCTGAGATATTGTCCCAGACCAGAGGAGACTCAAAGGACATGAAAAATAAACATAATGAGTTTTTGCCCTGGAGCCATAGGAGAAAACTAATGAAATCCTAATAAACGTGGAGTTTCATTAATAGTAATATAAGTTGTTAACTACAAGGAAAAATTGGGTGAAGGATCTATGAGAATGCCCTGTAATATCTTCATAACTCTTCCTTTAATCTAAAATGAAGTTTATTTAAAAGAAAAAGGCATATATGACAAGCATTAGTCCAGGACAGTTTTTTAGAAAAAAAAAAGATTATCTTTCACCATGAATATTTTGGGAAGCACTGATGTGTAAAACATGAGGTCTGACACAATTTAGCCTTCTTCCCCCAGTTTGAAGTTTTCTATTATACTAACTGAGATGGTTTTTTTGAACTCCTTGCTACTTTCTCAAAGGTATTTTTCTCTTAAAATCCTAGAAGTCACAACACTTTGTTCTTTGTTCTTTTATCCACCCCCACCATATTTTGCTGCAAACTTTGTCATTGTCAAAGCATAGCTGACTAGCTTTGCAAGTGGTTTGCTATTTCTCTCTGTTCCTCATATTTGGGTGTTATTTAGGTTCATTAAAGGGAACAATTTGTCACCAAGATCCAGGTACAACTGCATTATTATCAAGCCATCCAAAATTCAGTGATGATAACATACAGAAGCATTGCCACAGCAAGTATTACAGTTATGTACCAAGAATATCAAATTTGATCACAAACTAAACTCTAAAAGCAATCTCCACACTGTTCCTCCACACTGTAGTTTCAGAAAGTGCCTTCCTCTTCTGTACAGTCTCAGTGCATCAGTTATTCTATATCTTCCATAAATGTATAAAAAAGAAGCACCCATTTCTAGTCATTTGACAGTGCTTACTGGACTTGCAAATCATCTAAGCAATTAATGTGAAAAACAACAAAAATGCTTTTTATAACCAAGTCATTATAGACTTAAAATTTATAATCAACTCATTGTTAGATTATTAGAGTTAATATTTTGGGTGGAAAAACAAGGGGAAGGGATTTGCCTGTAAGCTGATAAAATAAGACAATGATAGCCTATATAGTCTATTAAATTGATTTTTTATGTTGAATAATTGATCTCTCTGTTGGGATAAGTAAGCCAAAATTTGCAACTGAGATTATTGTTTAATATTTTATTTATTTTGCCACTGAAATCAGGCAACAATTTTTCTTTGCCATTTTTATTTTATAAAATATTCTTAGGGTCTGGGGTGGGAGTGGAATTCTCCCAGCAATGTTAAGACATGAAATGTTTTCTTTAAACACTATTCTTTTTATTATTCCCAGACAATCGTTAGAGGAAACAAACCCTGCAAGGAAACCTCCATCAATGGCCTGCTAGAGGATTTTGACAACATCTCTGTGACTCGCTCCAACTCCCTAAGGAAAGAAAGTCCACCCACCCCAGATCAGGGAGCTACCAGCCATGGTCAAGGCCACTCAGAAGAAAATGGCTTCATCACCTTCTCACAGTATTCTAGTGAATCTGATACTACTGCTGACTATACAACTGAAAAGTACAGAGAAAAGAGTTTCTATGGAGATGATTTGGATCCCTACTATAAAGGCAGCCATTCCAGCAAGCAAAATGGACACATCACAAAAATGAAACATGGGGAGGCCTTCTATTCTGAGATGAAGCCGTTGAAAACTGACATAGCCAGATTTCCTGTTGATTATCATGCACACTTGGACTCACTGAACAAACCCATCGAATATGGTGACCTCAAGTGGGAATATCAGCGAGCTTCAAGTAGCTCCCCTCTGGATTACCCATTCCAATTCACACCTTCTAGAACTGCAGGGACCAGTAGGTGCTCAAAGGAGAGTCTTGCATACAGTGAAAGTGACTGGGGACCAAGCCTGGATGACTATGACAGGAGGCCAAAGTCATCATACCTGAATCAGACAAGCCCTCAGCCAGCCATGCGGCAGAGGTCCAGGTCAGGCTCAGGGCTCCAGGAACCCATGACGCCATTTGGAGCAAGTGCATTTAAAACTCATTCCCAAGGACACTCCTACAACTCCTACACCTACCCTCGCTTGTCCGAGCCCACAATGTGCATTCCAAAGGTAATGTTCTTTGCCTCTTTTCCCTCAAGTGTGTGACAACACAAAAGAGGTGTGAGCATAATCTTATATAGTCAGATCCAAAGAGTTTGTTTGCCTTTTCAGTGAGAATCTTTATCAAAAGCCTACTTTATTTTTATCATTGAACTCCAAGGGCAAAAACCTTAGGACAAGCACATATTTCATTAAAATCAAAAACTATCTTTTGGAATCTCCTACAAGATATCTGATTAAAAGGCAAAAAAAAATTTTAATTGAAGGATTTTCTGATTTACCAATGGTAAATATTATGGGACCATATTTTACTAAACTCTTAAGTTTCTACAATTATAGGCCAATGGAAGAGATAATACAATGGTCCCACATTCTTAAAGGTTACATGAACCTGTTGGAAAGGTAAAAGTATAATGTGGCAAGTTTTAAATAAAGCTGATTTTATTCAGCTCAAGAGACAGTCTTTCATTTTGAGAGTGTGTTCTTTCTAATATTTTTGTACTGAAATAACACTTTATGTATGAAATTTGGGGATAATAGATACCAGATTGCTAGACATTATAGTTGCTTTTGATTTTATTGGTTATAATTCTTCTCTTAATAAAAAAATAATATTAGTTGCTAGAAATTTGCTTTGAAATTTGGCTGGTCCATGATATCCCAAAAAGTGACTATTAGAGAAGTTACTGAACTTTTATTAAAAGCACAGACTTTGTCATGAAGATCTAAGTCTTCTGGAAAATACCTTGGCAAATGTAGAAGTGGTTGATTTTTCCATGGTAACTTAGCAATGTTTTTGTGCCTCACCTGTGCAGCAGAAGTAGAAATGGGTGGACTGTGAATTACCTAGAGGTCTCAAACCAGTTGAGGAGAGCATGACTTGTAACAGGGACAGCACTACATTTGAATCAAATACTTTCTCCTTGATGGCATGGTGGTAGGAAGCACAGAAAACTTTAGGAGGCAAGCCTGCCTGCATCCATCTGCTTTGTTGGTTGTAGATAGTCAATATTTTTCTTTTTTTTATTACATCTCATAAATCCAATCCAAGATGTTGAAGAGAAGCCATTTAAGGACATCCTGGAAATGACTTAAGCTATACTTTAGAAAAAAACAAAAAGCTGTTACTTTAGTTCCCAAGATATAAAATTAAAAATAAATCTGAAGAAATGAAGGCCTGCCATATGCACCTCCAGTTAAAATTCAAACAATCTCAATGTTTTTTTTTATCTCGCCATGTTAATTTATTTGAATACCCATGGTTAGAGTATCATAAATGCCTTTACTTCCTATCATTATTGCCAGGACAATTGCTGGAAAGTGGACTAATTCACCAATAGCCGAAAGCTTCATGGAATCATATCCATGTATCATGATACATGAGATAATTTAATCTATTTCCTATTCACATCACTGTGAGTACCATGATGGAGAAAACCCCTTCATAGTTCTGGAAAGAAATATTCAAACTAACATGTTCTGTTGCTGAATGGAGGTATATCCTCAGGTTTTGAACATGTGTAGTTGTTTTACTTAGGAGTAAAGAATGGGATTGTGTGTGTGTGTGTGTGTGTGTGTGTGTGTGTGTGTATTTGTATGGAGGGGCTTAGGTTAAGGACAAAGGTCTGGTTTTGATCATAGTCATAGAGAAAATGTTGCTCAGAGTCAGCAGTCTTTTAAGCTTGGAGTCATTTTTTGGACATTGATATGTATGGCTCACCAAATACTTGCTTCCAATATGAAAATAGGAAAGTTGAGACATGTCACTTAAAAGTGTCAGTTTCTGGAATTTCAGGCTTCTCTTGAAAAAAAAAAGGTGGGGGGGATGATTTGTTATCCCTGGACCCACATATTCTCATCACATGGGAAAAGAATTGGCTGGCAGTAAATGACGCACCACTGAAAGGGAATGGGCTCCCCAATTTGTGAGAGGTCCTTCCCAGTGCACTTCATTCAGTCCTTCCCAGTGCACTTCACTCATTTCCCCATTAGTCTAATCCCTAGAGGCTTTTGAGATTAAACATGACCACCAGCAATCTCTGCCCACTTGTTTTCCAGAGGAGGAAACTGAGGTCCAGAGAGTCACATAACACACTTAAGATTTCATAGTTGGCTATGAAACAGACAATAGTCCAAGCCTGATGAGTCTTCCAGTCTAGTACCTTTCTGTTAAATGAACATATGTTATTTCAGAGGTTCATCTGAATTTGCCAGTAAAACTCACGATAAATTCCAGTGTCAACAGAATTTTATAGGTTCTGAAGAGGAAGAAAGAAGGAAGGAGAAAAGGGGTAATTTACTTTATTCCTGCAGACTTCCAAATATAATTCAAAACAGATCTGCCCTGAAATCAGGTTTGGCCAGACCCAGAAACAATGAAGAAAGTATTGTGGCTCAGGAAAAACAATACCAGCATATTCAGCCTTGAGAACATCTGTCTGGGGCTTTTAGCCCTCATATTCCAGGGCTCCGAAGAGCAAGGCTCTGCTCTGTGTGTTAGGAAACCAGTGAGAAATTCACAGGCAAGTTTTGTGGGAGGTGAGGAGGCGGGTAGCATGTTGTAATTAAAACGTTTACTTGATTAAAAATATAACGTCTCTCTAAAAAGACCTAGGTGTCTGTGTCTTTAGAACCATTTTTTAAAAAATCTACCAATCACATTTGAATTTCCAGCTGAGGCAAGAAATAGCAATCACGACTCAGATCATTTGACTTGGCCTCCCAGAAATTTCTGCAGGAGGGTGGATAATGTTCAAATAGGAGGAGAAAGCACAAAGCTCATGTAGGTATCCAGATGGAGCAAAAGTGAGGAGTGTGTGTGTGTGTGTGTGTGTGTGTGTGTGTGTGTGTGTGTGTGTGACCAGTTTTAAATTTTGGCCTAAAGAAAATTTACAATAGTAGTGTTAACTCACAGTAAGAGAAAAATTCCTCTCAATATTATGTATCTACTTAATTTTCCTGCTAGCATGGTAGAAATAAAAAATACTATGAAATCTGTTAATATTAACATTTCTTCTCGATTTACAAATATTTTTCACAGGGGCTGAGCAGATGAAGCCTTGAGGTAGGGAAGAAAAGCCAAACCAAAACCATATAGCACCATTCAGACACAAAACTGTAAAAGCTGCCAGATGTGCAGAGAGAATTGCCTCCCACTCTCCCTGCAGATATGTCTGCCTTACAGTGAGGGGGACTAGCTGGAGAAATTGCCAAAGTTTATTTGATGTTGCTCATTCAGTGCTCTCCAGGGACCAGGCAGCTGCTGACTCATGTGTCTTGGTGCTGGCCCAGTATATCACCCCTTGCTCCAGCTGCAGCCACTGAGAAGCCCCCATCATAATAATAATTCTGCTGGTTTATTAAGCATCCACTGTGTCCCAGATACACACGTTGTTTCGTTGAGCCTGGCAGCGTTGTCAGGCAAGAGTCCTTGCCCCCGTTGTACAGATGAGGAAAAGGGTTTGGGAGGCTCAGTAACATTCTAGTCAGTTAGCTCATAGCAAAGTTGGGATTTTTTCACCAGATAAAGGCAACATCCTCATGGCATAGAGGTGGCTTCTGAGAATGCCACACCATCACCCTGCCTTCTTACAATTCTTCTTAATACCTGAAGTAGTGGAGTTGCTTTATAGCATTAATTAAATTAGCAATTAATTCAACAATTAGGTTGCATCATCCTGTTTCATTCAACAGCAGGGTTTCTCAACTTTGATACTACTGATATTTTAGAACTGGTCATTTTTTTTGTGATGAAAGACTGTTCTGTGCATTGTAGTGAGTTTAACAGTATCCTTGGCTTCTACTCACTAGACTCCAAAAGCATCACTACCTCCCTGGTAACAATCAAAATATCTCCAAACACCACCAAATGGCCTTTGGGCTAGGGTGTGCAAAATCAGCCCCAAATGAGAACTATCATTCCATAGCTATTATTGGTGGAGTATTTTGGGGCAGTTCAGGATGTCATTTTTTGGAGATGAACTGTCTGAGTTTGGGTCCTAATGTTGCTGCTTACTAACTGGGTGAGCAATTGCTTAACTATGCCTCCACTTCTTTATCTATCAAATGGAGATAAAAAAAAAAAAAAAGCCCCTCATCATGTCATATTAGGGTTATTTTTTTTTTTTGAACAGCCTAATTCTTTTTTTAAATAAAGTTAGGACAGCCTAATTTTTAAAAAATTTTTTGAACAGCCTAATTTTTTAAATAAAGTTAGAACAGCTTAATTATTTTTTTGTTATTATTTTATTTTTTTTGAACTCGGGGCCTTCACCTTGAGCCAATTTTTTGTGATAGGGTTTTTCACGATAGGGTCTTAGAAACTGTTTGCCTAGGCTGGCTTTGAATTGTGATCCTCCTGATCTCTGGCTCTGAGTAGCTAGGATTATAGGTTGAGCCACCAGCACCCGGCTAGAATAGCCTAATTACTGAAACATGTAATCTACACATCAGTCTGTGTGTGTAGCACGTAAACAAGTGATGGCTGAGGTATTAGGGTAGCTGTGTTCCAGGCACCATGAGAAGCATTTTGCTTATTATTTATTTATTTACTTATTTTGGTGGTAATGGGGCTTGAACTCAGGGCCTCACATTTGCTAGGCAAGTGCTCTACCTCTTGAGCCACAGCAGCAGCCCGCGAGAAGCATTTTGCAGACATTACCTAGTTTTGTCCTCGCAAGTCCAGAAGAATTCAGATTTCTTCTGTTTTGTAGTTGAGGTAGCTGAGACTCCAAGAAGCTAAATCTTGATGAACTTCCCCAAGAATATGAAGGCTGATGGTCAGCCACAATTCAAAACCTCATCCCTCTGACTTCAAAGTCCATCTGTCCAGAACATTCCCATTTCCCCAGAAGAAAACTAAGGGGCAGAAAGGTAGAGGTGAGGTGTTGAGGCGTGGACCCACATGTTGCAGTACCCCAAACCTTGCTGAGGAGGCATGGATGGATTTGGGATACACAGGGAGTGCTCTTTATTCTTTCTGATCTTGATAGGATAGAAATATTGAGAAG